AAAGTCAAAATGGAAATGAACTTAACGTCGTGTCCAGAAAAGTGTGATTCTGATATTATTTTGGGAGTAGAGATCTCTGAAGTTTGGTTTATCGCTAGCAGAATAACGTGCATGGGAACAAAGAAAAGAGGCTGTTTTCTCTGACCCTCCTGTGCTGCACGGCATTCGACCGAAGCATCATTTAGCAGAGTTAAACAGGATTTTAGGGGAAATGTGTTGAGAGAGACGCTGCCCACTTTGAAACAAGGAGCTGCGATGCTTTTCATGTTTTGCCCCATGAAGAGAAAAGGTCATTTTGTGCTCCCCTAAGAGCGTGGCATGTATTTCCACGCTGGTAACAGTTTCTGATTCTAAATTCAGGAAAGCAGTTTGACACATTTCTCGTTACCAACTCCTCAAAGGGTAGCAAGGAGATATTGGTAATTTTTTCTTGATGACTATATTGCGAATGTTGAATTTGATAATTAAATCCTTTTTGTTAAAACAATGCCTGTTTCATCTTATTTAGAATGAGTTAAAGGACGTTTCCTGTTTAAAAACATCAGAACCCTGTAGCTGCGGTTTATTTTCTGTCTGCTTACCTACGCTGGTCTGCTATTGCCATCTACTGGCTGCATGGCATACTGCCTACAGAATGCACAAAAAGGACTTGGCTTGAAAAGCAGATCTAAATGACCGCTCTAAAATCCAATGGCTAAAAAGATAGGCGAGACCGGGGGAGTTAGCTGTCTGGGAAGAGCTCGAACAGTTTAGTCAGTGTGGAAATTATTCCAGAGGGAAAAAAAACCAAAAAACAAAACAGTGATACAGAACGAGCCCAAAACAACACAAACAAACAATAGGAAGTGACATTCAAGTCACAGGTTCATCTCTAAGCCAAGCAAAACTAACAGGCCGGACTTGGCTTCTCTTCCACATCAGCCAAGAAATCCCCCTGCTAAGAATGCCATCTGCAAGGTTTCATTTTGCTTGATGCTCAGCAGCAGGCACAGCACTGACCCACTGCTGCCCTCCCCTCGGCAGATGCAAGAGCCCTGGGTTGGCTGAGAGCTGCACCGACTTCCCAGACAGCTCTTTTCTGTCCTACTCCATTCCTTTGAGTCTCCAGATGGAATTTATTCCCATTGCCAAGACAGAGACCTCAAACAACCTTAACGTCACATTATCAGTAATTTTTTCCTCTGCCTTAATGATGGCCAAAATACAAGCACAGAAGTGACAACATACAGGCAAAGCTTTAACAGTTCAGACAGGAACACAAACTGAACGAAGCTTAGTTAATATACAGAGTTAATGGCACACCTCTAGATTGTAGAAGTGCTCTTAAAAAATAATTTTGGCTCTCTACTGCTTTAGACACCTCCATTAAAACCGAGAGTGTCCAGTCACAGGATATTGCTTGGGAAATGTGGGATAACATCCTTGGTGAATTGAACAAGCAATTTTATCCTCAATTTTCTAAAAGGCTATTTAGTAAAGGCCCATTTTTACATTTTTACCACTGTGTCTTTATAAACACCGTCATAGATCTACAAAAGACTATTCCTATTGGAAAGCTGTAGGAGAAACCTGATCCTGCAATCCTTTTGGCACACAATTGGTGGTAACGTGGTAGTTCTGACACAGACCAAAGGGGAGCACGCCTGGCAGCCTGTATTCCACACTGACCAGACGTTAATGCTTACAGCAAGAATAGGGTAACTATAGTGATCTTTCTCCCATACACCCTCCCATCAGCAAGCAGTGGTTTTCAGGGATTTGTTAACTATATTGCTGTTCTGAAAGCTGGCTTTCCAATTAAAATTTTGCTGGCAAAGCTATGTTGGTTTAAGGGATTTTTTTCCCCAACTGGCATAGTTATGCTGGCAGAACTTTTAATGATTAATGTATGAACAGAAAAAATCTTTTTGCCTGTGTAGTTAATTTTGTTTGAGAAATCATCTCCTGTTCCACCAGCAGAGGAACTTTGCTAGACATGCACAGCACGTTCATCCTGGTAGTGTCCACCCTGACAAATCCTTTCAAATGGGGAAAAGCTTAAAGTCTGGACATGTGTGAGAAGTTGATGAGACTGCCCTGAGCACTCAGAGATAACTTTTACTGAGGATTACTATATCAACAGGGCAAACATAAACCTGAGCAAAAGGAGGCCATACAATGTACTTGGATGCTGCTGAAGAAAGCAGTAACCAGAGTATATGTATGTAAAACACATATGGCTTCACTTTCTCTTCAGAAAGCTGACCACAAACAGATCCTTACGAGTATAATTTCCATATCAGATCAATATGAACTTAGTTTTCATGTTCGAGTTTTAATTGGTGCATGTGATAAATACTGCTTGAGATCTCTGAGGTGTGTTACTTCTTAACACAAAGGAAAACAAGCTTTGTATGTAGCATTATATCAGTGTGAGGTCAAATTTAGAGCTAAGTACCACAGATTAGCTATCTCTGTACACAAATAGAGGTATAAAAACTCAAAATAATGCTAACACTTGTAACTGTTCGGTAATCTATGTAAATATATGCACATATTAACACATTTTCACAAACACACAGACACAGATGTGTTACATAATATATAGATTGCCTCTATATATTATATACACAAGCACTCTCTTGAAAAGTTACAATAAACATATAGGCAGGCACAATAAAACAATATTTTTGTAGAAAATATACTTAGTGAAAGTTTTTAGAGCTGAACAGTATGTTGCAGCATCTGTATATGCTTGAAAATTCAAAATGTAGAGGAGGCTTAGTTAATAAGATTTACTTTCATGATATTTGATATTGCACAGTTAAAAGGTAGATTCCCAAATGTAAAGCCCTAGTGACATGCATGTCAAATGTGTATTACATACATTTTCAAACAACAGAAACAGCAATTAAAGGTTTTGTTGTTTTGCTTTTGCCTAACTAATTGAATTAGCTTTGTAGAAAATAAATGTGATTTATTCTTATAATCATCTAGCTTTTCTTCACTAACAAAACACTAAAAAGGTCTGCCCTTCCCCATCTCTTCCAAAATTTTAGAAAGTAGTTGACACAACCTAATCAAACCACATTCTGTATTTGGTAAAAATACTCAAAATATTTCTGCTTTATAGGCCAAGCTGCAGGATTCATCATGCTAGAGTATCATGTTCACCCATAGAGATGATGACTTAAAATAATTTGTTAAATTTCCAAACGCTAAAAAAGAAATAAAAGCCATTAAAATATAAATTAGCAAACACTATTTTTCTGATTTATAATGCTTTGCAGTGGAAAGATTCACTACAGTGCGTTTTGCATTACTCAGCTATCAAACTGCTGTAAACAATTCCTTAGCAGAGCAATTGGGGCAAAGAAACAAAATAAAAGACGATTGTGGGGCAACTAAACAAATAAAGTAGGCGACAAATGGATGAGGACAGAGGCATCGTTTCTTGCTTCTAAGCTTTGAAGTCATTAGCATGGAGGGTCTGAGCAGTAATTCTCATGGACAAGCGTGCTGGCAGTCCATTCGAAAGGAACAAGGTTTCAGCTAGTCTATACAGAACATACCTGCAGTTCAGATGAGCAATGGGTATGTGATGTTTTAGTTGTGGGAGAGCTGTTGCAGTATTATTGCTTAAAAATGAAAATAATAATAATAAAAAAGCTGACTATGTTAGCTGATGACCGAGAAAATCCAAGAAAAGCATGAGGAACAACTTGCTTCCATGTTGAGGAAATTTAGGGTTGGAAAGAGTAAAGAAAAATATGAGAGAGGCACAGCTTGAAATTTTAAGTACTTATACCAAGTAACTTTGAGAGAGTACCCATTCTGCTGTACAAACAGTTCACACCTGTGAGCCAGATTGCATGCGCTAAACTAAGTTTACTTCATGCTGATTTAACTCACCACTGGAGGGGCTGAGCTGAGAAACATGAAAGTGGAAACAGTACAAGAAAGTGTACATGTGCACTCACACCACCTGCAATTCATGGAAGCTGGGAATGAACACTGAGTAATTTGATATGGGAATGGTTATGCTTAATGTGTCACTTATTTTTAGTGACCGTTTGGAGCATTGACATTGCCATGAGTAATAAAGAAAAGCTTACAAACACAGGCAGATGTATCAAAAAATGTAAAGGATGTGCACTATTTAATGGTATTAGTATGAATAATCTTATAAAACACTGAATATATTCTGTGTGCATATATCTCTAATGCACATGTTTATCTCTAGACAAAAAATACAAACATATGTGATGTATGCTATGCTGAGGATGCCATCAAAACTTCAGTAAAGCTGGGCAAATGTTTGGTCAGCTTAGCTTCAGAAGCTCCAAAACATTATAACCTGGAACATCCAAACTGCAGCTGCAGTGTGTGACAGAAGGCAGCAAGGAGCTCTATTAACTCTCTATCCAATTATGTCCTTCTGTCTGGAGGGAAGCAGCCTGCAATCTGCATGTAGTTTTGGCATGGAACAGTACTGTGTTGATGCTCAGCTAAATATGCAGTGGCTAGACTAGAATCAACTCCAAAGGTAGCATTTTTCAGCAAGAAGTGAGTCATTATAGCTCTCTTTGATGTCTTCAAAGAAGAGAAGCTAAGGTTGCCATATGGGTTCGCTGTTACAGTTTTGAAGTAATTTCCATTCATTGTAAAGTGCTGCTGTCCTGCTACAACTTCTGTGCTGCCTCAATCCATGTGATGATTCTGCTGCCAAGTAAAATGCCATGGTCCCATAGTTCAAATACTGAATCTACATGCATCAATGTTAGGTACAACAACCTTCTGACAAAATGTGAAAGTGTGCATACTGTTGTATCTCCTAGGGCTATTAAATAACAATGTGACTCACAAGGAGAATCAGTGGCAGAATACCAAATTATGTTTATATTAATAGTTAGAGCTACCTAAACTGATCCTCTCTGGTTTCTTTTGGTGGCATGCCCTAAACACACACAGTCTTGAGGGCACATATTTAAGTGTTTCAGCTGTGTATTTCAGATGCTTACTGCTATGACAGAAACTCCAGCTGCTGTGCTGTTCGGTTTAGGGCCTGTGTTGAAATGCTTCTTTATCTTCCCAGCTACTGATAGCTGATGTTCGTTCTCTGGAAGGCCATCATCCTGTGAAGAAACAAAGTAAAACAAAACTTCAGAGAGAAAAGGCAAAATAAAGGAATTGTCAGGTGATTCTGACAGCACCTCCCAATACAGAAAAGAAATGTTATAAAACTATTGAGTCAGCCATTGTCTCAGATCAATGTATTTACAGGATGAGCATCCTATTATGTAACAAACCAGCCTGTCTCTTCTTTACAAAACATCTTTCTCACAAGCTTTAGGTTAATCTAATTAATAATGATCATTAAATATTTTATTATTCTTTCTACTAGGCTTTGACTACCACTGACTGGTTACTCGTGGGCGCATCAAAGCATGATAAGCTCAGGCCTGTTCATTCTTCTGTTTACTCCTCAAATGTTTAAAGATAGTGAACTTAAACACAGGAAGAACCCAAGAGATTACAGAAACCAGAAGTTTCTGGCTTGGTGGGACACAAAGAAAGATTTCTTAATGCCCTGTGAAACATCAAGCTCAGAAGTGCTGTGTTTTGACTTAAATTCAGTCTTTTGATACATGAAAAGAAGGAAAAAATTCTGTAACCATGTGAAGGGAAGATTTTAAATCTTGAGAGAGCTTGATATCGGCACGCACTGGGGATTTGTCAAAATCTAACCTCAGACAAGGAACATTAGGAAAAATTTCTCACAGAAACAGTGGTGAGGCATTGGAACAGACTGCCCAGGGAGGTGATGGAGTTATTGGTCCTGGAAAACTTCAAGAAACGTGGAGATGTGGCACTGAAGGACATGGTTAGTGGGCAATACTGGTGGGAGGTGGACAGATGGCATAGGTGATCTTAGAGGTCTTTCCCAACCTTAATGATTCTGTGATTCTATGATTTCCAGAAGCCCTGTGAAATACCAAGTTCAGGAGTGATTTGACTAAATTCTACCTCTTAATACAAGAAAAAAAGGAAGATTTACTGTAGCAATGTGAGGGGAAGACTTTAAATCTTGAGAAAGTTTGATACAAGCATGCACCAGTTATTTGTCAAAATCTAGCCTGAGACAAGGCACTTTCTAAGCTCTGCCTATGTCATCCCCAGCCAGCCACAGCCTAAGTGCACGTGGGAATTATTTTAGCAGCCATCAAGGTGATGTGCTGAGGGACTGTGGGTTGGGTGAGAGCTCCAGCTGTGGCTCAGTGAGCCCCAGGGAGAGGCAGTACAGGCAGAGTGGAAACTAAGACATGCCCTAGCTCAGGCCTGTGGTGCAAGTGAGGCCAGGCCTTCATGAACATCAGGATGTACCACTGAGGCATGACCCATACCATGGGTCGGTTTAGGGCATCTAGTAGGCATCTTCCTGCACAGGCAGAAAAGTGGGGCAGGGCTGAAGCCAGCTGTGGTGGCCTTGTTTTCCTTGCCAAAACACACATTTTATCAACTTGAGCAAAAATGAGGGAAAAGTGAGCAGAGGGCTACAGGGCCAAGCTGAGGCTGCCATGTTCTGCTGCCGTGTGCATCAGCTGCGTGAGGGACCTAGCCCAGAAGCTGGGCACCATGCTCCTAGACGACAGCTGAGAGCTCCTGCTCCTGGAATACCCATCTGCTGTCCTCCACATGGAAGCACAACCCTAGAAAAAAGAAAGGAGTCTGCAGTTTGCCCAAGTCAGCAGGTTGAATTGAAGCCCAAAGAAGGAGCTTTTTAGAAATGGCAGACGAGGCCTGTGTGACTGATTGAGCAGGGAAGAGGCAACCAGCAGGAGTGGCAGCTGAAAAAGCCATGGCTGATGAGAATTCCAGGAAGCAGAATAAGGATTTCAGGCAACAATATGCAGAATATGCAGGATATCAGGTGTCTGCCCATCCATGGATCTGATACCCATCCATGGATCTGATATCCCTCCACTACTGCTTCATATATGCAGCTATCAGCAGCTTAGAAAATTCTTGTAAGTCCACTTAAAGTGCAATTCTACCAACGTACATAGAAATGAGAGACAAGATCAGAACACAGAGAGATTTCAGACTTCTTTTTTCTGCCTCTACAGTGACTCTGAGCACTCTTAAAGAGTTACACAATCACTGCAGTAAATCACCATCCCTGCAAGCACATGGGAACTTTAGGGAGGTTGGTTTGCGTTTGTAATTTATTTAGTTTGGGGAGTTTGTGTTTAGAGATCCCTCACTCACCTCTTAACAAAATGTTTCAGCTGGAGAAATATGGTCAAGTGCACACAGCTGCAAAACAAAACAATGCAACCCAGTAGCTGATAATTGTCCAGCACTGGGGAGTTTTGGCTTGGTGCATATGAGCCCTAAAAATAACCTGCTTTCCACCGACCTTGCCTTTCCCAGAAGAAAGCCTATAAAGTGATCTTTTTTTCATTGGAGGGAAAAGAAAAAATCATTCTCTTGGCTTTCTGGACAATGAAAGCCTGCCAAGGTTTCATGTTGTCTTGTCAAAAGCCTAAATTACAGTGAAGACAACAGTTACCAAGACTGGGGTAATATTTTATTTGTGAAGCACCACACCCACTGTTCCAGTGGCAACGAGTCAGAGATACATACTCTGGGATCCAGTTTTCAGAAGAAAACTTCAGCTCAGTTTAAGAGATAGCATAGGTATGCACAGGAATTATTCTACCATTATTAAATTGTTCAGTTAATGCAGGTGTCACCCAATGTCTACCAGAGATCTTTTTTTATTCCAAAGCACTTTGTAAACAAGCTAGTATATATTAGCTGGCTCCCGGAGTCACTTCAGCCAGCAATAATATAATGGATAGATATTGAGCGTGAGAGATGACAGCTGTTTAACTACGTATAAAAAAAAGCTGCTCTGCAGTTTCAAAAGGCAGAAATTAAGAAAAAGCAACCAAATAACACATCAGATTCAGAGAATCAGCAGAGTGAATTGTAGAACTAGAGAACAGGCTAAACATTCCTGACTAGAATTTCATCAGGTTGCTGTGATGGGAAGGATGCCAGCCCCCAGGGAGGTTAGCAGTGCTCCTTCCTCTGTCTTAACCTCCAGCTACATGAACTACTTATTGTAGTGGATTAGGACCACAGAATTTCATCTTAGCTGTAGCAGTCAGGACAAGAGCTTTTAAAGATGACTTGTGATTTTTGGTGCTCAGTTCTGGGAACTTCAAAGGGTTGTGAATTTTTGAGAATGTGGAACTGCTGATGATCTGAAAGAAGTGTTGTCCTGAGAAGCTGAGCAGCCAAAATCCTCTGGCAGCTTCTAAAGTCTGGTCCAGAATTTGAGTTTTCACCTGGATGCTCTTAACTGCCTGGGTTCTTCAGATTATTTTTTTCATCAGACAATGCAAAATCTCTATTTGCAAGAATTAAGAAAATAAATAAAAAAAACCAAATGGACTATATTGGCATCATTTGAGTCATTAACAAACATTCTTACCGTATTTGCACTGTTTTATATGCAGGAGACACTGTCACCCAAAGAAAAAAAAGAAAAGACTAAACAGTGTTCAGGACTCCCATTGCCCGACACACTCAGATGCATTTCTCAAGCTGGTCACAAGAGGTTTTCTTTCCAGGTCTGAATGCATCAGATGAAGAGGTCATTATATAAATAAAAGCAGAAAAGTAGAGCAAATAAAAGTGCAGGAAAAGCTTTTTGACTCTGTTTCCTTCAAGGATTGCAAGGAGATTTTTCTCCGGTTAGTGCCCTAGGATGTGACCAAAAGGTACAGCAGCTGCTGAATAAGAAACAGCATTTTAAATAAAATTTCTTACAAATGTTAAGCTTGTTACTATTTACTGCTTGGTTATTCATTTCTTTTACATTGAAATCTCTAAGGCAGACGTGGTTAAGGATACATACAAAGGCTACAGTTTCTCTAATTCTTTTTAGGCTGTTGTGGCCATCTTCCTCCTCCAGTAACAGCACACACATTTTATATTGATTATTTTAACAGAGAAGGGCTTACAGAATTCAGTCCATACCTTTCATATTCAGCGCTCAATATTCAGTGTACAAAATAAATTAGAAAATATTTAGACATCAAAAACAGAGTAGGTGTGTCCCATAACTTGCCACTGCTGTACTGCAGGTTATATAGTGTTACCAGTGTTTAAAACATCAGATCTCAAGCTTCCAGCCACCCTTACAATTCTTAGGTTTTGCACAGAATTCCATCAGGTAAAAGAAAGAGCTGGAGTCCCAGTACGGGAAGTATAAACTGATGGATTTGTTTCCAGGTCTCAGTGTACTGCATTTGAGAGACAAATTCAAACAAACTAAATTGAGGGGGCAAAGAACTGCTGCTGAATTGCATTTTGAATTCAAGATCTCCATCTGTGGCAGTGGCAAGGAGCCAACATCTTTTCAGGTTTTGTTTTTTTGAATTGAAAACAGCTGGGATATTATTGACATAGGAACTGCTTAGCTGGACTGACACTGACCATAAAAAGTTTTGCAGTTTCCAAGAGGATTCCTGCTATTTTTATAGCAAAAACTGAAACTGAAATGAGTGTTGGCTCCTATTGAAACTGTCAAAGTACATTCCAGGAATCTCAGCAATTTACCAAGTAATCACATAGTAAGCAGCTATAAAGTGGAACGGTTATTTACAATCTACAAAATGCTTTTATACGGTGTAAGCAGTTAGAACACTTCTATCAAAGGTTTGATCAAAGAGAGAAAAGGTTTCTTGGAATTGTCAAAGAAAACATATGCCTGCTTTTCAATCCAGTTGCTCTATACAGTGCTTTATTTGCAACTTTACCTCTGTGTGAAGAGAACCAAAATAAGAAAAGGAAAAATAAAGTCCTTAAAGAACTATTTCAACAGGTTAACTAGGGAAGTTTTATGTGTTAGATGGAAACTCCAGGTGCCTTTTGCCCTCTGGAAAGGAGACAATATTGTAAGAATGTTGCAGAAAATTGCCCAGGCAATTAGGACACATGCATGACAGGTAGGCTGTGTGATGCCCACAACTGGCCAAGAGATGGTACTGGAATGAGAGGCTGGATGTGACACCAGTATATCCTTCTGCCTCTGCATGCAAGAAGCCTTCCCTTGCCACATACTTCTCAGACCCTCTGAGGGAAGTGTCCTTTTTCATAAAAGCATTTAAGCACCTGTTTCAACTCAGTCATGTTTTTAATTCTCCTGAAGCGAACTAGGACTTTAATGCCATCTATGTAGTTAATTTTATTCCTAACACTAAGCATTTCCATGTGGCATGCACTGAAATAGGAGCAACCTTCGGAATGTGCTCAAACACTTTCCAGAACTGGTCCCAGTGCTAGCCCTTTTCCTTCTAGAAAAATTTATCTGCAGAATACATATGAGAATTCAAAAGAAGTTTTGATCTGTGTCACCAGCTATCATGAGTGAAGACAAAATATTGACTCATCTCAGTTACTAAGAGCAACACTTGGACAGAAGAAACCTCTTGTAAGTTGGACAGAACTATCCTAGAATACCTGCTTCAGTTACTGGTGGATGGAACAGCTACAGGGTTTGATTGCAAAGAATCAGCATAAAACATATCATGTGCAGCAGAGCAAAACCAAAGGTGATTGAGACTATCCAGCTTCCAGTTCTACGTGCCCTCCTTATACATAGTATTTCATGATTAGTGCACCAAAATCACTGTTCACAAAAAAACACAGTTAAGGAAGGCAAGTAGAACTTGAATTTTCCTTGGTATATCTTTCAGTTTCTGCCAACCAAGTACTTAAGAGCTTTGTGACCCAGAAATTTTATCCAGACAGCAGCATTTAACAAGCACCAATGGGATCACCTTCCAAAAATGTATCAACCTCTCTTTTGAATCCATTTATACTTGGTCTCCAAGGCACCTCTGGCAAAGGGATCCACATGTAACTCACTGCACAGAAACCCAGGAATTCATCAGGATGCTTTGGTAGTGAGAACGTGGGGTTGGCTACAGGAGCTCTGCAGTTCTGGAAGACTTCAGCCACTTGTTCCTTACCCTTCTTCCCAGTCCCCCTTGCTGAAACCATTAGGAAGCACAGGAAGCACACCATCATCTGCACACCACAGTCACAAAAAATGGCACTTCTTGATGCACCTTGCTGAAATCACTTCCTAAGATACACTGTTGTATAACTGAAGCAAAAACAGAAACAAAAACAAAGCATCTGGAGAGAGCACAAAGCTCACAAAAAGGAAAATTGGTGGCCAGATCCTCATGTTGTATAAATAAAAGACTCTTCAATAGCCTCAGCAGAAGTATGCAGACTGACGCAGCGGGTGACCTGGCCTCTCTGCAGGTTCTGACCACCTCCCGTCTCTTCCTGAACAGCAAGACAGAAATCCCCATCCACCCTTCTCCCGTGGAGATAGACACTTCAGTTACCAAAAGTCATTATAAACTGTGACAGAACACCATGTCTAAGGACAGAACCTGACACCAAGGAAAATTAATATTTCAGCTGCTTGAATGTCATCTTTAAAATGAAAAGATTTTCATCACACACTATCGTAGATCCTTCTGCTCTTTGTACACAGCAGAAGTGGTCTGCCAGATAATATCATTTATAATAAAAGTCATTTTGAATGGTTTGGTCAAGCAGGTAGCCTCCAGGACTAACGAATATAAACACTTCAGTGACCGCCACTATTGTAGGCTACGTGGAGGACACTTCTCAAGAAAAAAGATTAGCCTCTGAGGTTATTGTATCTGTGAATTATTAGAATAATCTTTCATTGCAATAAATCATTTGGATACAGAAGCTCAGGGAATCTGTTAACAGGACAAAATATTATTCTAGTGAGAACTGCACACTCCAACTTTAAGAAAGGAAAATGAAACACTATTTCTTCCTTCTTTTTTTTTTTTTTTTTCCTCTCCCAGTCTCAGTTGTATTTCTGCCTTCTTCAATCTTCTTTCCTGAATTTGACTCTGGACTTTCTCCGATTTTTATTTTTCTTCTCAACCAAATATTTTAAGACATATTAAATAGTCTGAAATAATTAGCAAATATTAAGTAGGGTCCCTGTATCAACACGAATTAGAGACAAATCTCTTTATTCTCTGCCAGATTTATCCATATACCACTTCACTGATTACCGCTTCTGTGGCAAATGTCCAGTCACTACGAGATAAGCCAGGATGCATAAATAGCTATTTCATGGTAACTCAGATTAAACGGATATGGCTGCACATAAATACGTGTATATTTCAATGTCAGAAGTTAAACATGATGCTAAAAGTTTCCCTGTTTCATGCTGGATCAAGTGGGCTTAACACCATTGACTATATTTCAATAGCTCTTAATCACGACTGTCAGATTTTTGAGTCCATTTCATTTCAGGAAAGCAAAATGTGCCTCTGAACCCACAAGCTGATTGTTAGAGGTGTAAATTTGTCAAGTGTGGTTGAGATATGCTGAAAACCTGACCCAAAATATTTCAGAGAAGAGGGAGGCTGAGCATGCATAAAACAGTGAATACTCCATGATACACGATATACCACAGCAGCTTGTAACCTAGCTCATTTCCAGTTAAATCTGTGGTATTTTTTGTAACATGATGGCTCCAAAAGGGCATAGAAAGGATGTGACAAAGAGGAGCTCAAAGGTGGAAAATTACAGACAGCATCTATAAGCCTGAAAAATACTTACATTAACCCATGGATGTTCAAGAACTTGCAAGGCTGAGAATCGCAGATCGACATCTACTTGAAGCATCATTGTGATAAGCTCCTGAGAAATGGAACACTGGGTCAAACACAGTTTTTGAAGAACAACGCCATGGATTTAATTCACTGAAGTACTCTTCGGCTGATTATAGAAGAGTGCTCAAAGATGGAATGAAATACCAACTTCAGAAATGTATTAACATGTATTAACTGTGAACTTCTGAACTTCAAGCTGAACTTTTAAATCAGTATCTAACAGTACCTTGAAAAGCAAGAAGAAAGTTCTGAGTTACAGTTCTGTAGCCACTGTATAAAAGAAAAGCATTTAATACATAATATACAAAACAGATGGTTGCATGAAATTAGGTTAGCTTCCCATTAAGAAAATGTCAATTCCTCTGTAGGAAAAAAAGCCAGCAGATTTAGAATTTTAAGATCTTGTATAAATGACATAGAAGATATTTAATGTAACACGGTAATACATTATTTTTTCAGGCTCTGATTTCCTATGCCATTACCTAGTTTTCAACTAGCATGCAAATGAACACATAATTCCAACACTGAATGGGGTGCACAGAAAATAGGTTATCACCAAAGAACAAAATGAATAATTTTTAGCAACAAGGAGAAGAAGTTAAATGAATAGATTAATTTTTCAAAATAGAAAATTCAGTATGAACTATTTGGAAGAAGAAGTTTCAAAGGAAAACACTATTGGCAAAAGACTTGCACAATTCTCATTATTGATGGCCCTGGATACGGTCCTGGGCACCCACCCTGCTCTGGTTGTCCCTGCTTGAGTAGGGGCTGGGCTGGGTGACCTCCAGAGGTCCTTCCCATTCTGCAGATATGCAATAAAGGCTGCTACAAAACAATTACATGGACTAGCTAGGGGACTTCCAACTCTATGACTGAATTTCATTAATTAACAAACTAGAATACCAGACTGATCACCATGCACACATCCACAAAAGAAAGATGTTACTAGCACTGAAGAATTGAGATTCAGAACTTAGAATGCTACTTCATTACTTACATTCACTTCCAAATTTCAAAATGTTTTGCAATTAAACACACTGAAAGAAATAGGAAGACACTTCTGTATTTGTCTTACAGACTTAAGAAGCAAACTTGCAGAACACTCACGTATTAGGGAAACTGAGCAGGTAACTACATGTTGACCAAAAACCAAATAGTTTTTATTTGTGGTTATTTTTTAATGTACATATGTACTGTATTTCTCTATGTGTACGTATGTCACTATAGTAAATTTCTGATCCCTAGAAAGTCTGTGAGGGAAACTGTTTCCCCAGATCCATCAGGATCTGTATCTGTTAAGTGTTGTACCTGCTTTAGCACATCCCAAGCTCTAACTCTCCCCTGTCTTGTGTCAAGAGGCTACCCATGAACCGGTGGACAGAAGAAGTCCATATTTCATACCATGCTGACAACAATGAGTTACAATGCTTGGCCTGGTTCACTGACAGAAAGAAATGACAGATACATCATTTAATGGCGTTAATAAGGGAAAATAGCTTCCCTGTAACATTATTTTATCATATTCAAAGGCTCCAAGTTGGAACCTCGTCCATATCATAAATGCATACACAGTCCCAGGGAACTTCCAACCTAAGGAGGACAGATGCAACCAACTTACTCATAATTATTTCTTGGTCAGTAAAGGGTGCTGGTGTCTCTGCTGTATGAAACATCATAAAGAGGTAGGGTCCATTGCAGGACCTCCTAAACTAACAGACAGCGATCAAATGACAATTCATTCTTGGTAGCACAGAAGAATTTACAGATGTAGCAGGAGATGTATAAGAGATGTCAAATACAGCATGCTGAAAGGACAACAGTCATTATTATCTCAAGCATTGGGAAGAATACTGGAGAAGCAGTGCCATTAGCGACATAAACCTACCTTTGCAGAGTCAGAAACATTGTCCCAATATGGAGATGGAAAATCCACCTGTCCCATCAAAATCTGATCAAAAAGTACTTCTTGGTCATCTCCACTTCTGTAAAATAAAAAACAAAAACAACAAAACCCACAAAGGCATTATTTCCAGAGCTGGTTTTAAGAAGGTTCTTGAAATTGCTTTTAATTGGATGTTCCTTAGCGTGCTTTAGGAAGCTGTTTATTCTTCCTAAGCATGCAGGCACAGATGTGAATGCTGAGGTCAATAAAACAAAGCTCATTTGGCACTTTTTAGGACGGTCAACCACTTTGCAATTGCTCTGAGGGGGAGAAAAGATCTGGCATGCCATTAAGTGGTTTACATTTTATCAATCTTTTACAAATCACAAAATAAGCTGCATTTTGTCCATGAAAGATTTTTATTTCACTATGTATTTTAAACATCAGGCAAAGACACCCAGAACCCATAGTGGAGGACCTTGCTTTGTAACATAATTAAGTTTAAACTAAAATAAACAAACACAAGACAGAGTGAAGTCACAAACATTTATGGGATTTGTGAAAATTACTATGCACAGCATGGGAAAAACCAAACCCTATAAGCAGAAAACTTGTTTAATGCAGAAGCAGCACAGGGACCGATTCACAGAGCAAGGATGGTTGAAGGGATCATTCCATACCCACGGAATGGAGGAAAACCACAGAGCAGGATATAAGTAATCACGCCCGCTGCCCAGATGTCCACCTTCAAGCCATACCTATAAGTGTGAGAGATATGGTTAGAGAAATCTGATGTCCAGGAACTACAGTACAAGAACAGAGAAAACATTTTCAGAATCATTTTAAACTGAGACTGAGGTTTAGATTAGATATTAGGAGGAAGTTTTTCACACAGAGGGTGGTGATGCACTGGAACAGGTTGCCCAAGGAGGTTGTGGATGCCCCATCCCTGGAGGCATTCAAGGCCAGGCTGGATGTGGCTCTGGGCAGCCTGGTCTGGTGGTTGGTGACCCTGCACATAGCAGGGGGGTTGAAACCAGATGATCATTGCGGTCCTTTTCAACCCAGGCCATTCTATGATTCTATGATTCTACACAGTTCTACAGTTCTACAGTGCTACGGTTCTATGGTTCTATGATTCTATGGATTGTTAACAAGTTCTTACATATTTTTACCTGCTCTTTCACTATATTCTATCTACTGACCTATTCTAATTTTGCTTTCCTTTCTTTTGTTTTTCATTTACATCTTAAAACTATATCAGATAAGAATTTGTAAATGTCCAGAAGACAATATGCTTAGCTAGACAGTGACCTCTACCAACAGAAAGCCTACAGTGATGAAAAGATGGACACAGGCTGCTCAAACCAGCAGATATTTATTGATGGAACAAAGAAAAGGACAGTGTTTGACAACAAAATAAAATTAAGTAAACAGTATCTAATAATCTCTGGAGTTAGTATGAGAATTAATTCTATAGTACGTGCAATTGGCTAGTTAGTAACTTAATGCTGAGAAGTTTGAGGCTAACAACAAAGCAACCTGCTATAATTACAAATTCAACACTGCTTTGAACTGGTTTTGGCAAGATAGCTTCCAGAGGTCCCTTCTGACTGAGATGTCCTATGCGGTATGATCCAGCATCACATCCAAGCAAAAGCATCATAGAAATCCTAGCTGCAAGAACTCATATCTGGTACAATGTCGAGAACACATTCTACTGCAAACAGAACAATGAATTCTCACTAGAATCAATTTACCCAGTTTCAGCAATGATTTCTGGAGCTACATATGTTGGGGTCCCACAGACAGTGTATAGAGGTCCATCCACAATGGTTGCTAGGCCAAAGTCCCCTAACTTCAGGGACTTGCTTCCATCTTGGTGTTCATATACCTAAATCAGGAACAAAATTCAAATGTTTAAAAGAGTTCTACCAAGGGAACGACTGTATGATTTATTAACTGCCTGAAAAATTCCTTTTAATTTGCAGTCTTCATTTTCTTCCTTGCACACAACACACTCAGCAGAAAGTTTTGAAAATTCAGACAAATAGGACAATTTTCTACAATGTTTGGGGAAGACTTACCTTGCTACCTAGCTAACAAAGGATGTATTACCTCTCATTAAAAATAAAAATACAAAAGCAAAGGTCTGACCTTCCAGCCGAAGTGTTCCCACTGATAGCCAATTCCAATACCAATACCAATACCAATACCAATACCAATAGTGCAGGTATTTTGAGTTTTTGAGTCTTACCTATAAAGAGTTTAAAGGCTCACACGGGGTTTTCACATTCTTAGATAACACAACAGTGATCAACAACACAACTGATAGTAACAACAGATGCACACCCGCAACAGTCCTCTCCTTGCATGACTGCCTAACACCAGTCTCCTAGCAGTATGTGTTCCCACCATCATCAGCGGACATAGGCTGGGCTGATAATGAGAACACCTAAAAATCTGCCCTTAAAACACACATGGTCTTCAGAGAACATGATATTTTGGGGGTTTTCATGGGTGTGAAGGGCGATTAAGAAACAAGAAAAGCTAGAAACTTCATTAAAAAATAGACATTTGAAAATCTAGCACAATGCAAAAGAACAAACACAAACCTACAAACACTGAAAACATGCAGAAAATGCTTAAACCAGACTGAAACTAATCTAAATTACACACTGCACTATGAATCTGTCTTTAATCCGACTATTACTTTGGGTTTTTGCTGCCTGTTTTGAAACTGTCTATGATGCATGTTAATGCTATTTACCATCACACCTTAGAAAGTGGAAAGGGTCTTGGGAGTGCTTCTTAAAGCATAGATACACCACGTTATTATTTTGCAATCCAAATTAAAGCTCCATACAGTCTGGCTTGCCCAGTGATAGCATGAAAACAATCACCAGTAATGCCTGAGAAAATGAGGATATATCACACTTCACGATCAAAAACAACATCACCCTTAATACCCATCTCAGTCAGTCCTGCATCAAATATCAAACTTGTCTGCAAGTTTTTGCAGAGCAAAATTTTCTTAAGTAATTCAGTGCTTTCTGCAATGGACCCTTGAATGGTTCACTTAGTGCAAAAATGAAATACTTGACTCTATTATAAAATAAAATAAAATCCCATAGCTAAGCATCTCCTTTGTTACTGTTCATCATTTGTGGGTTCGAGAGGAACCCCCCCCTCTGTCCTGAATCACCACTACCATACAATACAGTCACAAGCTGACATTCAGAATGCACAGAATTCTTTTATTTATGTTATTTTCAACAATAAAACTGAATCTTTAAAAGGACCAACATTTTGATATAGATTCATATTTCTCTGCTGCTAAACCAGAAGAAAGATGGGCTTAGAGAAAAAAAAAAGCAATTATGGCTTTATTAAAAACACAGTTTGTTAAATACATCTGGTTCCTGAAACTAAAGAAAGTGCTCCTTGAAATGGCTGTAATAAATCTAATTTCAACAACAGTTTTAATTAAAGGCTAGAGACTAGAGCTTTAAATATTCACTTGCTGAAAAATGTAAAGTGTTCACTTAGAACATTAAGAGCTGAATTCAGTCTAATTAGCATATCCTATTGTAATTCATGCTCTGAGTTGTGCTGACCTACTGATCATCTGTAAGGTTCCTCCATTAACAGTCTGAACCTTATATATACCAGAAATTATTTATGGAAAAGGCTTGTTTGGCAATATTTACCAATGGAGGAAGTTTGGTACTGTGCATTTTCTTGTACTTTGCTCCACCTGTCTTCAGTAACTACTTTCCTTGGAAAGCTACTTCACTTGACTTGTAAAACCAAACAAAGTAACTTTTGCTTACCCTGTTATAACTCCATATAAAAAGGATTCCATCTTGAAGCTGTGGTATGTTCCTTGCCAGTCAAGGAATGTGAAAGATAATTTAATGCTTGTGTTATTCAGAACAAACGCTATATATGTTCTACTGCATTTAAATACCAAAGGGCAATTAAAGAAATGGGAATTAGTGCAAATTACCCTCTATGTAGTGCTTTCACTGTTTTAACTAAGCAGTAAAACTGTGTAATTGTACAACACTAATTGAATGCAGCCACACATAATTGTGTACCACCATATGTATCCTATTACTATAAAGACTGTCAGTATTTTCTAAGCTGCTCTTGTGATCACTGCAGATGGCAACAGTCAGAGAAGTTGTTCTCTAGGGTTTATTATATGGCTATAAAGACATCCCCATGACTTGACAAAATAAACGTGCTAAATAGCAGCAATTATGAAAAATGTTCCAATTAAAGCATGGAAGGCACCCTCCAGAGAATAAAAATGTGCATGTTGGTAAAAAATCACAGATAACCAGCATACCCTAAAATCTTGGACGCTGATTGTTAGGCCAGCTTATAAGCATTTTATAAATTCCAGGAAAATAACTCCAATGGCAGACTGGTGATACAAGAAGTACCACCCCATGTAGCAGGTAAGAAGGTCAAAGTAGGACCTAAGAAATACATAAGCCCATGGGCAGCCAATGCCGGAGACAGAGTCAGAACCCAGCTAACCCTGGCTCAAAAGCTGTCTTCCAAAACAATTCATTTCTTTCAAAGACGTGATAAACCTTAGAAAATTTATTAGTCAAATGCTGGCTGTTATGGTTATGACGTTGTAAAGAGTGAAGTACTGCACACTCACTGCTCAGTATCAATTGCAATGTAGTACCTATGCATACATACAACATAGGAAAAATCCTCATAAGCAATTTGGCTACAGTGGAAAACAACATGATTATCCATGGTAGTGGGAATTTCCAGAGATGGCTGAGCTGGAAGATTTTATTCTCTCTTTGTTGTCCCCACCTCCTGTCAACTTTCTTCTCATTCCCATAAGTTTCATTCTGCTGCTGCCAGGAATTTTGTGACATCTCAAGACAATCCCCTGCACCAAGACATTACTGCACATCCCTTGTCAAAGTGTTAATGAATGCCGACGTGTGACTGCCATAACCTCTGCATGCAGCCACCTGTGAACACCAAGGGCTGCTAAAGGAGTATCAATCACTGGTTTCTAATTAGATTTCTGCACAAGTTTTTAGCAGTTCCTGCAAAATTAGGCCAGACTACTTCCTCAGCCAGAGCTATGGAGGTATCTATTGCTAGACAAGCCTCAACTATAAGAATCCAATTCCCTGGAATTCTGTCAAGATCTACCTGAGTCAGCTTTCCCATAAGACCTTCTCAGCCTCGAGCAGTACTAAATACACAGCAGACAGCACAGGGATGAGGGAACTGACATTCTAGGTCTTGTTAACATTGTTCTATGCTTGTAGAAGAATTGGGATATCTTCATACTGGAACATGCCAGACGTAATTAAGAGAAATTAATTCACTGGAAGAAATGAAATGAAATCAGCTGGAGAACACAACTTCTGCATTCAAGAAAACAAAAACTCAGGAGGACTAAGCATCAGGGCATTGTTTTCATTGTCTTCAGTGGATAACGCTCATATAGATTCAGTGAGAAAAAGGAAAACTTAAAGAAATGTCTATAGTGTTCTATAGGATTATTTGGCAGAGAAGGATTTAGAAGTGTCATCCTGGTTCTGTTCTGACATAGCACATGACTTGGGCACAACATTTATACAATCTTGGTAAAACTGAGCTGCTGCTAATTGCTTAAGCAGCTGCAGACATACAGAGTGGTCTATCGGGGACACCACTCCTTTGTATTTATGTGAAGTCTGAGATTACACAGCAGCTCACTAAAAGTTCACTTCTAGTGATCACTAAAATCATCCTGTTGCTGCGTCCTGGGGAACAGTCTAGACATACCAACTGATGTTAGGGGCTTTTTTGTGTTAGTTGTTAATCTTAGGAGAGCTTTACAATGCTAAGATTAAAACTAAATGACTTTAAAGCCTGAAATAAAGTTGGGGCATATCTGGAAGGAGAGAAAAATGCAGACCTACTCTCACACACTTCTAAGTTATCAACAAAACTGAAAGCTGAATTTTCACTCACCAAGAGGTTCTCCGGCTTGATATCCCTGTGAACGATGTTCAGGCTGTGAAGATATTTGATGGCACTGGCCAGATTGTAAAGCATCCCACTGGCATCCCGCTCTGTGTATTTGTTGGTGGAAGTAATAGCATCAAAAAGATCTCCTCCCTGGAGCAAAATGACCACAGCATATAAGTAACATTATTTGTGTAATGACTGAAAAAAAAAAAAATTGAGGGAACGTCAGTGAGTATTATTTGTTGAGGAGAAGGAGGAGCAGCAGTTTTCTTGCTTTACGCAATGTAATGACACCTCCCATGGCGGCAGCTGAACGTATCACTAATTCAGTACCATTTGCCACCGCTCAGTTGGACAGCCATGGGGCTGGAGTCTCCACTGCAGACTGTTCCCACCTGATGCTGTTCCTGTAACATGTTCAGTGCTTGCCAACCTTTTTATTCTGGGTCCCTGTTGCAAATTTCTGGCATGCCTACATACCTGCCTGTCATGATGCTGCATACCAGCTCTTGCCATTTTTATTATAATTACAAACAGGCTGACACCACATTTTTGTGTAAAGCCTGACTAAGCCCCAGAAAGATGAAGAAACTGAATAACACTCAGATCAGCTACCTGCCAGTATATATGGCAAAATTATACTGTAAGACATTTTAGGATTTACATCAATAGTTCACCTTAGCTATAAATACAGATGGCAACTTGTACCATTTCCAGGTCAACATGCTGTCTAATTCAGCTGAAAGTTACTGCTGATGAAAGAAAAATGAGAAAAAGAAGAAATGAAGGAATATTAAGCAGAAGTCCACAAAGCAGGACTTGAGGCAGCCATTGCAGTTGGATGACTCTGTCAGGGCTGAGATGGCAAGCAGGAATAGGAATGTGTGAGTGTTTGGAGAAAGACTGAAAAAAAATAGTTTTAAAGTAGAGATTAAGGTGGAAGTGTGATGGAACAGAGGAAAAAACAAATATCTTTTGAGAGGCATTACTCATTTCTGGCCTTTGGCCAAAACCAAAGCAGCACCATAAAGGAAACATGGGCCAACAACAACAACAAGAATAGGGAATGGATAATTCTGCAAAAAGAATGCAAAAAAATGCTGCTGCAGTCACAACATCAGGAGAAAAAGTACACCACAGAAAACTGCACTGTGAAGAAATGGAAGGTACTTTTTGAGGGAAATGGAAAAGTCACAGCTTTTGCCAACTCTCATGATTTTATCGTCAGCCTCGAGATATTTGGTGGCTTTTTTAAGGCTCAGCTGCAGGTTACTAAAACATTGCTTTCACTCAGAGAAATAAGGAACAAGGAGAAATGAAAATAATATTTCCAGAAATCAAGGCTATGAAGAAAAAGGTAGGAAAAGGCAACCACTAAAGGCTTGAACCTGAGAAAACAGCCATTAGTTTTAAGTACAACATAAAATAAAACAAAAAATTAAAACTACTGAAAAATCAGCATTGTTGAGATGCAGCTGAAGACTGTCAGGGTGGGTTTATTCCCACCGCAGATGCCAAACTCCAGCTTTGGAAAGTGCTTGCAGCCAAAGACTGTCAAATCTGGACTGCATCCATCTCCTCCTGCTCTGGCTGGTGACTGATGAAGATACATCAAGGTACATAGTGTGAAGGAAAAGGAGGAAGAAAAAGGCAAGTTAAACCAGATACAAGATTAGAGAGAAAGGCCAAATATTTGGCAAAAGTACAATACTATGGCATTACCTGATCCCTAAGTATTAGATATCAGCATGTGGCAAAATATGTGGGATAAATAATCTATCTTCCCTACGCTCCTTCCTGTGAAGCCCCTGTACCAGCTGCTTTTTAACATGAGGTCGTGGATTAGACAGATCTTTGGTCTTATCTAATACGTTCCAGATGCTCAGGAGAAGTGTTCATAACATCAGCAAAGGATCTGTCTCAAAACAAAGAGAGCAGTCTGAGCTGAGATGTGAAGGACAAGAAGGAAAGAAGCTGAAACTTAGAAAGAGAAGGGAAAATTTCATTGTGAAGTCAGAAGAAAAAGAACAAATGTTCATGTGCAAGGAGAACTCAAACTCCAGATAAGAGAAGATGCAGAGTACATAGGCAGCCAAGCTAATCTGAAGCAGAACCATTTTCTCCAGCAAGTGAAGTTTCTCACCAGGTAGTCTGGAAAGAAAAGAGGGTATAGTTAGCCTGTGAGACTCTCTGCAGTTAAAAGGGAAGTGACATCCTGGAAAGAGTTAACACAGCTGACAGCTGTATCAGGCGGAATGTTTTTCAGACTTCCCCGTCCCTGAAGAGCACTTTACCCTGCAAGGTTCTGCTTAGCTGATTCACACAGCGGGTCCCTATCATTTATTCAGGCACAAGGGGTGAGCTCAGGCTGACATTTCAGTCTTAAATCCTGTGTTCAGGAGTGAAATCAGACCAGCACATCTGAATGCAGTTTTTATCATCTGTGCACATGAGGAAGTGTACTTGGAAGTACAGTAACCAATTATTTATTTATTACCTTGTTATGTAAATGATATAATCTATCTCTTTTTTTCTTTTCTGCAAAAGTGAAATCATATCCTGGAGCAGTAAAGGAAACTCTGTAATAAATCTTGCTTGTTAAATTGGCCAAACCCCTGTTAGGTTTGAATAACAATTTTGTTTCGCTGTGTAAAGAGGCAGCGTGCCAGAAGCCAGGACTTTGCTTCCTTTTACAAGCACCATTTGCAATGTGTTTATATTTGTATTTATGAAGTGCTTTTTCTTACACTTTACAAAGCAATGAATGCTCTAACTGCCACGAAGCGAGGGCGGTATTTGCAGCAGTCACTTATGTCAAGCATGTTACTACCAATTAATACGGGGTGGCATTAACCAAAACCGTGCTCTGCAGTATCAAGCCTTTTCTCCTTGAATTTCTTTCCTGTCTGAGAGTTTGATTTAAACTCAGCTCTTCAAAAGTCAGTCAATAACAGATGGTTAATCAGTTCTAACAGTGCACACTATGAAATGGTAACAGTCAGCAATTGGTGAATTAACAATTAATGTCTTCCCAGAAATACCTTCCCTGGTGCCTGTAGAATACAGCAAGGCTTTTTTCCCCAATTAAATATTAAGGAATAGATGTTTGCTTCATAGAAAGCAAACTTCCCAGGAGTAGGATATTTCTTCTCAATTTCTTCTATTATTCCACATAAAAGTAAAGAGCATGAGAACAATGCTCTCTAGGATACAAGAACTGTATAATGTGTACGAAGCCCTTCTACTGCATATCTAAGACTATAGATATCTTACTATTTTCAGCAACCCTGAAGAGCAAAAAACAAAGAGTGCAAGAAAACAGATTTTTCCAGAAAATAACTGATAGTTTTCTTTGTATAATTTTTTTACAGTAATCATTTTGAAAGAGTTTTTGGTCTCTTCCTCTCTTATTAAGCTGAGTAGGACTTTGATTAAAAATTCGCTGGGGATACAGTTTGAACATTTTTCAAGCATGAATAGCACAGCAGGTTGCACCCATAAAACCGGCTATGTGCTTAAGTCTTGGCATGTTAGACAAGGCACAGCTTTTACTTCTTAGCACACCTCATGGGGCCAAGATGAAAGATTGATTGATAGAGACTGAAGCGATGGCTACACTAGATTACAACATTGTGCAAGAGTACTCGAGGTACCCTCGAAGATGCAAGATGTCTTGAACACTGGTAAAAATATACAGTAGCATGGATCTCAGTGAGCTCACTTACCATAACAAAGAGCAGTAATTATGATCAAAATAGTGATGGTTAATGCCAGCTGTGCTATTTTGCACTGCACTCACAACTGCTTTAGAGGGCTGTGCATATGGAGAAGGTGGGAAAATTCTTCTGGGAATGGCTGCATAGTGGCTTTCACAGTGCAAGAGTGTAAGCATTTTGCTTTTTTGCTAGGTTTTAACTTCTCCAACAGAGACTAAACAGAGACGCTGAGCACCCCATTCATTCGTTGTCGCCAGCACATCCCAGTGTGCTTCCTCAGAGCTTGGAGGCTGTTGACAGCAGGGTTAGCTGGGCTGTAAGCTCCACAGCACCTCTCAAGACAAGCAGACCTTAGGCAGGCTCAAATCCACGAGGACAACATGGCCACCTCCTGAGCACCCAGGAGGATGGAGTGTAACCAGAGCTTTCTATGGATAACAAGCTTTCTCAGCCTGTTGCAGAAATAGAGATTATCTGCGGACATCCACCCATGGCCATGCCTGATGGCCCCTTGCCTGGCAGCACAGCATCTTTGCAGAGAGCAGGTAAGTGCAATGCTGCACTGGAAACCTGGCAGTGTCACTGCTGCTGCCAGACAGCACAAGAAAGAAGAGACTGAACAAAATATGTTTAATTCTCCTTTCTCTCGTACTCAAGAAGTCCTTGAAGTAACACTTGGACTTGGGATCATCCTACCCAACCTCGCAGTGAGGGGCCTACATTAAGAGCATCCCACCTACAACCAGTGCAAAGCACTGCAGAGAGCAGCCCTGCTTTCCAAAATCTCTCACCATCTCTGTTAATGCCTATTTCTCACCACAGATACAGAGAATGCCTACAGAAGGTGATCATGCCTTTAATTCAAATGGAAGTGATCCAGGTCCCAGGGTTCAGAGTACCTGCCTTGCTCTCAAGTGTTGAGCATACTTAGACACCAGATCTGCACACAAATGCTTCTGCACAGCAAGGGCTTCCTTATTGCAGTGCTTTCCTTAAACACTTAAATCAGTAGATTTCCCAGGTGTGGGCCTGAAAGATTGTCCCAGGACAACTTGCTGATCAAGACACAGGAGAAGTGGATGCTAGAAAGATTTCCTTCTCAAATAGCTAAGGAAGGAAGGATTGCTATTTCCATTATGAATGTGAAAAGCAGGTGTATTCTGTTAAAATAAGCATGGAGGACAACATGCCCTCCATGATTTTCTGATCTTATTTGGATAATTTACTCAAAAGTATTTCACCACCTTTTATGCACAGTGACATACTGGTGTATTAGTATCAGAACCGAGAGCTAAATTCAGACCTCATACATTGTGTTTTTGACAGTATAAGGGCAAGAGATGACCCGGATGAAGTTTCAAAATCTAGTTTGAATAAATAAAATCTGGGAGTTACAATGAAGAAATAAATAGGGCTCCAAATATAAAATGCTGCATTTACTTTTCAGAACAGAGTCATGCTTTAAATAGGTTTTCTCCTTCACTTCCCCCACTTCCTGCAGCTGAAATTTAGGTTATTATCAAGGATGGAAACCTGACAATATGTTAATATAAATCAGTGGAGAAAACAGTCAAGTAATATTGTCTATATTTAGCATAGGTTCATAAAATAAAACTCTTTTATCAAATAATATTGTATTTTTGATGTTTACATCTGATCAGAGTGGGGGTACTTTCAGTTCATTTCATGGAAGATGCCTTTTGGTTAAGAGAAACTTTTAAAAGAGAGTACTTTTGGAGGAGTAAGTAAAACTGGTCATTTCCAATAGGGCATTTCTGAGCATGACAGAAAGGTAGATATATACGTATTCCAAAGCTGTAAAAAAATTTGACTGTGGGTTACACATCTTTCAGTAGGGCACTGGATGAGACCCATGCATTATAAGCATCATGACACAATGCTATGATTTTGACTAAGCTTTAGTACCAGTACAATTTCTGAATAAGGTTAAGACAATCTTTAGCAAGCAGTTTAACTCCAAAACACTCACCTTTACAAGTTCCATGACAAGGTATAACTCAGTTGGCATGTCCATCTCCTCAATCAGAAGTACAATATTGGGATGCTTGACTCGTCTTAAAATGGACACCTCATTCTGGATCATGTGCTCCTGCCACACAAAAGAAATTTTCAATGACTACAGATTGGTGGGAAAACTTTTCACTTCCATGTACAGTGGAAAATGCAAAGAGGACTGGGACCTGTGAGGGTTCTTCAGGGCTTGTTTAGAATGATTATTGATAGTGCCTCTGGCAATACAGAAGAGACTAATCTAGGAACATCATCAGTGTGATAACTAAAAAAAGAACTAAGAATACAGAAAATGAAACACAAGAAAAGGCATTTCTGACACAGAAAAAAGGAAACACAGAAGCTTTTAAATCTTCTTCTCCAATGCAAAAGCATTCCGCTAGTAATATGATTGCATTTTCTCAGGTAATTTTTTGTTATAAAATTCTAAAATGTAATAAATTCATTTTTTTATAAAGCTGACATCAGTTTGATTAGCCCACTGATACTGACCGGCGTTTTTACAATTAGTGTTATTATTCTGCTGTTTTCTGTAGTATGTGGGATTAAGAAAGGTAGCAGACATAATTACAGAGGTCAAGAGTGAGAGGAGTGAGTGTACCCAGGCACAGCCAATCAAATTAAATCAACATATGCATCTTGAAAGGCACCTTCAAGTCTTTAATACTGATACTCCAAGGGTCTCAAGATGGCTGGCTGGCAAAGGATTGAGCCAAGAAGATTGTAACTCTTGACAGGAAGAAGATAAATATGAACAGCTTCCCAAACCAATCTCTCATAAAATGTTTCTTGGAAAAAAAAAAAAAAAAAAAAAAAGTTTTGGTCTCATTCAAAATTTTCACTTACTTTTCCTCTGCATTTACTTTTTTTGATTATCTTCAGAGCATACTCCCTACCGGTTGATCTGAGGAAAGAGAAAAAAAAAAAAATAGTTACGTTCAATCACTGCATATTTTTCAAAGTCAAGCTTTTATCTGTCATTTGAGCACATTATTAATCACTAGGCCTAGGCTAGAATTTTGTTCAAGTAGTTGTTTTATCAAAAAATGAAGCTCAGATTTGATTTTTTTTGACATATAGACATTTCAATATTTTGAAGCAAAATCTTCATTTTTTCATTTTACAGTGGTTTCTGATCTTTCTTCTGCAGTTTTGTATAAAACTTGATATTATTTAGAGATTTCAGCTTTCTCAAAAACGGAAGGTTTGGTTCTCCATTAAGCAAAACATATGAGTGCAGAAAATACTTGATTTTTCACCTTGTACATCTGCACTCATAACTGCTAAGATAAAAATCCTTGCAATAACTCAGTAAATTTGTTATCTAGCAGAGTTAAATATGATGTTAATGAAACAGAATATGAAAGGTTCTGGTGACAATAAGTCATTATAGAGAATTGATTCAGATTAAGATCCAATTTCCTTTTGGGTGGTATTTTTTGGAAACTTCGTAATATTTATTGCTATTACATGCATATTTATTATAGAATACTAGCATAGAAAATGAAGCTTATAGACAAGTTCATAGAATCAATTTTCATTTCTTTATCAAGTTACAAACCTAATGTAAGGCTGTAAGTTTGAAAACAAGAAGTTCTGTTCACAAGATCTAGTTTTACTATGAGGTTAAATGAAGAATGGGCAATATGGGGAAAAGCTGTCACTGAAACCCTTTTGTAATAAAAGTCAAAACAGTTTGCATAAGTCTATTTACATTGCACTTAGGTGCATGTTTGGACCAAAATATAAATTAAAAAATGACCTCCCAAGATTAAGAGATGATATTTATCAAGGAGTGCAATGATAAAGCAAAGGTTAGTGGCTTTAAACTAAAAGAGAGGAGATTTAGATTAGATATTAGGAAGAAATTCTTCAGCACAAGGGCGATGAGGCACTGGCACAGACTGCCAAGAGAAGCTGTGAATGCTCCATCTCTGGAGGTGTTTAAGGCCAGGCTGGATGGGACTTTGGAAAATCTGCTCTGGTGGGTACTGTCCCTGCCCATGGAAGGGGAGTGGAATTGGATGATTTGTAAGGTACCTTCCAATCAAAACCATTCCCTGATTCCATGACTTTTTAATTAAAAAAAAAAAAAAAAGGTTAAATTGATAATTAATTCATTAAACTGATATGGAATTTAAATGGAGAATTCAATAGGTATGAAATTGTGCACTGCTTGTCAGGCAGGACAGGCAAAATGAGTCCTGGCTGGAAGTATTGCATTACCAAAATGACTGGGCATTTTCATTGCCATATTTAAACATGGAGGTATCTTCTGACGGTGATGTAGGCACTAAGGGCCACGAAGACAGTAGCAAAGAGCATAAAAAACCAAACGTATGGTAGCTAGATATTCAAGTTTTGAGGTCAGTGGGAGAGCAAAGACAGTCTACAGACTGAGACGCCAATAAAATGACTGCAAAAAGAATCACAGTGGATGCTGCTGTTCTTGGAAAAGGAATACAACATGGTTTGAGCAAAGAAAAAAATAAAACTTTTGTACTTCCCTACTAGAGGTCTTAATTCCATGTGTTGGTGCTTGGTGGCTACACACCAACTCAGAGAAAGGACACGCAGAGCTATCTGCACTATTTCTGGGGAATGAAAGGAGGTAGCAGAAGTTATATTAGAAATTAAGATATCTGCTGTCCAAATTCAGATAAAATACACTCTCTTTCAGTAGGAGTGTCTTTCAAACTCCTTGGTTGCCCTAGGAATGCTTCCTTTCTGTCATGAGAAAGGAAATTGATGGTTTTTGTTGGCCATCAGAGACTACATGTACTCACAAACACTGAGAAATATGAGCTAGTGAGGAAATGTCAGAATTTGGAAGTATCTGAAAGTTAAAAATGAACACATATGAAAACACCACAGGACAAATTGCGCATACGATGGAGCAGATATATAATGAGCAGTTGACAACTCTGACTGCTCTCTGTTTTAGTAAAAATAAAATTAAAGTGAAGATAATGCAAATCCTTTCCCCTAAAAGCTGCAGAGCCACAGGCTGTCAGCAGCCCAGGAACCTCCATAACTTATAGATCTGCCAAAAAACATGCATGGCAGTGCCAGAAAGCCAAGTGAAATGGGCGTATCATATCACCTCTCACCTATTACTTAAGCTGAACAATAAAAAAGTGCACATGAAGCACAAAACACGTTACCACTGGACTAGAGTCTGGAAGCACAGCATTAGCACAGTGCGTAGCATTGGGCCTACAGTTCTTAGAAAGGCTCTGGGGCACACTCCCCAGTGTTTCAGCCTTTTGCTGAAAGGCTCAAAGTTCACAGAGATTTCCATTGTGCAAGAGGCAAAAATCTATCTTCGTTACTTTTGTGAGTGCATTATTTATGATGGTGTATGTGCGTGCACATCCAGGACCATAAAGAATACATGGAATGGCACGTAGAAATCGACACAATATTTTGAAGATCATTTTTGATTTCTGTTTGAATCGTTCACAGCAGGAAGAAAATGCCTTTGAATGCATTTCAAGGGGTGGAATGGCCAACAAGCTCACACAGCTATGGAGAAGGCATATCCATGGGATCAGTGGAGATATATAACAAGACTCATTCGTACTTGCTTAACACCTCACAGTGCTATTCCTTTGAAGTCTAATGCACACAGGAACTGTACAACAGCAAAAAGTGGAAAAGACCTCTGTCCCAAGTATCACCCCATCAGTTCTGGTTCTACAAGTGATGGGCAAATCAGATTTTGAAGTGAGGTGTTTGTTGCTTAGAAAGACTGTGAAGAATGCTTTTGAAATTGTTTTATACATACTTTAATTTATTCTCTGAGCCTTGAATTTCACCTTCCACACAAGCAAGTGTATTCTGCTTTAGAAGTGAAAGCTAACAGAAATCTATTTTGCTTTGACTTTCAAGCTCTTTCAGAATTGTATCTCTCTGATATATATGCAAACTGTAGAATGGTATGGCTTGGAGACAATAAGAGTATTTATTTGGGAACTGCACTATTTATTTGAGTAATTGGGCTAGTTTAACATACACCCACTAGATGTATCATGTTACTGGATACTCCAGGGACTTGGACGATACACAGGAGGACAGGGAACAGCTTTCCTTTTAGCTCTCCAGGACATTATAATTAATGTTATTTTTAACTGTGGTGGTACCTGTGTTTAGTATTGTTCATCTCTTCTCTCAACTTGAGAAATGGTGGTGAGGCACACTAGACCATTTGAACTGCCTCAGCACAATCAACATTTTCAGCTGTATCAAAACCACAAAGTACTACTCCATCATGCAAACTCATTCTCTCAGTCAGTACTTTATTTTTATTTTGCCTTTTTCTCTTTTCTTAATGATACATTTTCACCCATGCTTCTTTTTCAATCCATAAGGCTGTACTGTGCTTTCTTGCTTTCATACTGTTTTGCCCTGCTTCCCTCAGGTTTCCATGTTAGTTCTCCAGCTCCACCCTCAGACCCTGGAGTTTGATATGAGTAGCTATGGCTCTCTGCACAAGCAGCTCCTCCAGGATCACACTCTGAAAGAGCTCTAAAAGCCTCACAAGAGCCTTGGCTAGTCCCACAAGCACACTGTGGGAAGATACTCTTCCCTCTCCCCTGAGAGCTACCTTAACAATGTCCAACTAGCTAGACACTTTCATATACAGACTGGGATCTGTCTTTTCCAAGCCAAGGTAATTTATCATCATCTGCCATAAGATCTATCCTTGACTTACTCTCTAGGATTAAAATCACATTTGTGGCAAAAGGTTTTTCATCTAGCCCAAAGGAGAGAGGTTACAGACTTCTGTAAGTCTAGGATATGATAATAGAGGACATAACATTTCATTCATGGAATTTTATTATCAGAACTCAACATCTCTATTGTTCTTTCTTTCATACATTTCCAGCTCCAGTCATTTTGTGGGTGGGTGTTTTTTGTTTTTTGTTTGTTTTTTTTTTTTTCTGCATTGCTACCATCTAACATAAAGAATCTTAAAATCGCTTCAGGTATGTCTATTTTCTGGCTTTTTAACCCCAAGTTATCTATTTATTTAACAATACCATCAAGAAGCACCTGCAGTTCTGTCTTTTGTTCTCTTCTTTTTTTTAGACTCGAAATGGTGGTTTGACTCAGTTCAAAGACAGTGGGCAAGATTCATCTGAACAAATTTAGTATCTGACACCTGAGATGGTCAACCTGGCCACCTTCAGCAACACAGACATTAGAAGAGTCTTGTGACTTCTCTAACTTAGCGTGGATGTTTAAAATTAGTCTGTTTGTCTTCAAGGGCAACTGTTCTCCCCTTCTAACTGAAGAGCACTGAATAAATTAGATGTTGACCTCACTACAAAACAAGGAGATTAGATGCACGTTCTACCAAAGAAAGACACGGAAGAGGTTACTCTTCAGCATCAGATGTCAGAGTAGGTGATTCTGAAGCCATCTTTTTGTGCTTTCCATAGCCACTAAATTGCACACAAAGCTTCCTAACATCTTTACAGAATGCTCCTACATGTAATTTTTTCACTGGCCTACCACAAATGGCAAGTTGCAAAGATATTGTGCAAGAAAAGATGTTATTTCAGTGAAGCAGGAAAAATATAACACAAAGAACTGGTAAAATTATGTTGTGTGCAGTTGAAAAAAAAAAACACAAAACCCACAAAAATTTGAATTTATAGATTGTCCTTGGACTCACTCTGTTTTCACATGAGAGAGCATTAGTCTTGTTTTTCCATCTGGTATTGAGACATTACCTTATTCCACACGTGCTATATTCTACAAATAAAGACATGATCTAGAAAAGGCATGACATTAATGATTGCTTTTACAGTAATAAGCAAATTATCCTTCTCACCTTTCTATACACTCCTTCACAATAGCAAAATTTCCATCTCCTATAGTCCTTCCAACTTTATATCGTTCTGCTATCGATGCTGGAACCTGGAAACCTTCCTCCAACACTTCTGAAAGAATCATTAGTACATTTTTATTGTTAGTGAAGGAAACACAGATGTTGCACATAACATACGTTTTAAGGCTACGGTTTAGGAGCCTGGAAACCATTCAGAGTCAGTATCTCACTTACTGTACAGTGAAACCATGCTGCTGACATTGTATATACTCAACAGGTTTCACGCAGATACAGTAAGGAAAAATAAGACTTCTGGGGGCTCAAACATACCACCATTCCAATGTTACATAGTTTACCATTCCCCATGCCCCCAGGACAAAACCAAAATTGTATTTTTTTAATTATGAAAAGGCCTCTGTGAACTGCACAAGCGCAGACCAGCCTCCAAAAAGGTTTGGAACTCCTTGACACAGCATGATTAAATATATGTACCAAAGAAGTCCAACACTCAAGCACTTATTTTATTACATCCTGTAAACTGAGACATCCATAAAACTCCTCATGTGCTAAGTGCTAGTTCTTCCCCTCCCCCAATATTAAATATTTAGGTTTTAAACAAATGTTCTCAATAATACTACCTCACATGCAACCTGGGCACCAGATGTTTAGGTAAAATTGCACTACGCAGTGCCTGAGCATAAGAAAAGTTTGTAGTTTCATGTGTTTTAGTGCTCATTCATGTACTATTATTTTAAAATGTATTTGAAATAGCGTGTTACAAATACCTAACATGCCTCTAAAAGCTGGCAGTAAATTGCAGCTGATACAAGCTACTATATAAATACCACAACGTACAAAAAAAAAAAAAACAACTCAGAAATGTGACTTGAATTTACACTCCTGAAGCCTCATAACTATGTTTTTTTCTGTTTGTTCCATTTTAGTATTAAAAGTGAATGTCATACGGGGGCTGAGTTTGCTCACAGGCAGTATGAAGACTTACTGTCAGACAACACCATACACATTTGTAAGTGCATGTGAACTGGCAGTAGTAGAGGAGACACTGTGCCTCATCCAGCTTGGTCAAAGCTCTAAGGGACCGGCCATTGCTCAGCAAAGGCCCAGGATCACCATATGCTCTTTAGAACAATGACAGATGAGACAAAAGCAAAGTGAAAGAAGCCAGTCAGCACTGTGTCACCTGCAGAACTAGAGTATCCTGTACCAGAAACACCTCTGAACAGGGATGTTCAGATCAGATGTGGTCTGGAGTGAACCTGAACTGCTGTCAAGGCTGACAAGCCTCCTAACTGGGAGTCATCCAGCCTGTGATGCTCCCACTTTCTCCGGCAGGAAGGATGACTCATTTCCTACACAGCTGCTGTTATCACTACATTGACTGCTTTGAAATGTCAGCCTTCAAATGTTACCTTCTGCAGGTCCATCATTTTCATCCATAGAGCTGCAAACTTTGGTGGATGCTAATGAGGTAGAGGAGCCACTGTGTTGGGAGCTCTGGAAATGGAGAGACACAAATGAAAACAGATGATTGTTAAGGAGCACCGATACCCACAGCGTGTCCCAGGTGTTCTGTATGTAAAGTATCCATTTACTTTTGCAGAGTGATATGCAGATATTTGTCCAGTTTTTCCACTGAAATTACACCTTTGGTGCCCCACTGAAGTGTAGGCTTCCCCAATTCATTCTGTGTGGCAATGCTTTTGTGTTGATCGTTACATTCTCCCTACTCTACACACATTTTTTTTGTGGGGAAAACTGAGGAGCTGTGTGCCCTCTGCAGGCAGGGAAGTGTTTTATCAGCAATCATTAACCTAGCAGGCACCAAAGAACAAACATCTGTTTCAACTGAAGCTGGCTTTTTGTTACAGGAACAATTTCTCATTTTGCAAATCCCTTTCTGCTGAAGTCCTCTCTAATCGTGTTCTAGAAAGGAAAAATCATTACAAAAATTTATGGAGAAAATAAAATATATTATATATTATATATATAAAATAAAATGTAATATATATTATAATGTTTGATTTTCTGAAAATAAAGTGATTGGATATAGTCATATTGAGGCATGAGTCTGCGTGTTGGTGTTAAGCCTTTGTGCACTGAGTGTCTAAGTTTGCTATACAACTAATGGGGGGAGGAAGGTCTCTTCTGCCTCCAGGTGATCTCGACCCCCCGGCTGGATGACAGAAATACAGCAGGCAGCATCACACGAGGGAAGCTCTTTCTGTCCATCAGTTACTACAACATCTAGCTATGTAACTCAGGAAGACTGCTTCATCGCATATCTGGATGGATGAAACTATACACAGACACAAGATGGACTTGATGTCACCCCTAATTTTTATCCTGTGCTGCATAACAATCACAAATATTACCACAGTCCTTTAAAGTTAAGGAAAAAAGAAGCATTTCTTAGGTGCTTGTGTTGCAAATTGAGTCAGAAATATTCAGGGGATTTCCAAGGCTAAAACTTTCTTGGGTTCACACAGTTTGTGTGCTGAAAGATTACAGAGCACTGCACTCTATTACACAAACCGTAGCCTGTACCACATGCAGCTAACGCCACAGAACAGTGTCTAGGTTTGCAGGGTATCTAAATGCCCAAATCAGAGTGTCAATCCACTTTACAAACGTAACACAGCTCCTTCAGACCCATCCCATAAGCTGTTGCAGAGCACAGCAGACAACTGCGGCAAGAACAACTAACTGCAGCAGCTGAGTAATTTGCAGAGCACGGAGCCAGGGTGAATGAGTTAGCAGTGCTAGAAGCTGGCCAGTGTGCTGAGATCATTTGAAAAGACTTACTTCTAATTTCTCCCGCAGTAGATTAAGGTCAGATGATTTAGACAAAGGCTGGACTCAGCCTATTTTTCACTAAATAATCCTCAGAGCTTGCGCAGCCCATCTACTAAAAGATTCTTGGCCTGTTTTTCTTTTTTTTCTTTTTTTTTTTTTTTAACTTTTAATCAAGCCCAGCTCCTTCTTTTCATCCATCCAAGCACTTCTTCTGACCTTTGACTGGAATCAAAAATTGCATTAATCACTTTTTGGGCTACTTCTGCTTCCTCCTGACAACAGACTGGTTTTATGCAGTTCACTAAGACACAGCAGCCCTCATCTCATGATTAGGACATGTTTACGTCTGTGATATTCCTGCGTTAAATTCCACCACACATCTCAGTAACAACTTACCTCTGGTTCATTTTTGAATAAATGAGCAGATGAGGATCAAGGAAGCAGGAAAATGCTATGAACTCTCAGAGTTGGAGAAGTCACACTCGAACTTCACTGTTTCTATACACGTAATCACAGAGAATTGTTTACTTTACACTCCTGCTTGTAAAATTAGCAGAAGAAACATGTTTTTTTCTACTCATTTTGCTGTTTCAGTTTGCTTTCATAGACCAGACATCCAATTCCTTACTTCTTTTTTCCACTCCACAGCATTTTCCTAAAGGAATTACAATGTTCAGTATTTGTTGCATACACAATCAGGAATGAAACTTGACATTTAAAGGGTACCACACAAAAGATTCTCAAAGCATTCTATTCAGATTCTGCATTTTAAATGGTGAAATCACATTTTCCAGTCGATGTTAGGTTCAGCACTGCTGCCTGTACCCCTCTGCAGCTTTCTTTGGCAATTTGATGTTTCCTTACAGATTCTCATATCCAATGTTCTGTTTTATAAGAATGGGAGATGTTAAAACCTGGACATAACTTGGTGGCCACATTTTCCCAGAACAGGCACCTACAGAGAGCCAGATTTCTATTTGGGGACCTAATTTCTCAAGGATCCTCACGCTCTGGTTTGGCTGAGAATTGCAACTGCAGTCCTGCAATGAGATTCCTTCTAGCGCCCATTTCAGCAAAGCACTTCAGCAAGTGTTGTGCTTGCAACAAACACTCTTAATGGCCTATACACAAATGAAATAATTAAACACACTTTGAGGTATCTTAGCTATAGCTTCCTAAATATGTGTTTAGCCCACATTTAGCAAACATGCGTTCAAGGAAAATTTAAAGAAAATAAATCATCAGTATGAGATCAGTTCTTAAGTATACCACTATTTCTTTTTTTTTTTTTTAATTATTATTGATGCTATGTTTGCATCACTCCATTAGGGTGGGTATGCTAAAATGACAGAACTGAGTGCATACACTCTACCACTGGTCTGCAAGCAAAGCACAGAGCACCTTTAGCGGGAGCTGTGTGCAAGCACAAGTGTGCGAGCAGCACAGCCCACCCATAGCAAGGGCACAGCAGCTAAGGCAGCAGATAAATATACACACTGGGTTTCTGAAACTTCAGTTTTAAACTAAGTGAAAAACATACAGAAAGCATATATTTTATTACCTTTGCTGAACCCCTCCTATTAAAACAACAGAGGAAAAGAAAGCATGAACTGTACATTTGCATACACTCAGCAGTGTACTCGTGGACCTTTCACAATTAAAAGAGACGTTGAGAGGTATACGTGACACACGAGTATTTTAGTCTTTATTCAGCCCCCTGGAACAACACACAGGCACTTATTTATTTATCTTTACTTAAGCTAGAAGGACATTTCGTTTATTTAGACTTTAATTAGCTCGTTGTTCTCACAAGCTGAAAGCCCTCCGGGTCCAGCAATCCTTGTGGGTCTTGGTGTTCCTTCCAGTTGGCTTGCCAATCGTGCGGCAGTCTGTCGTACATGCTGCTGCTCTCACAGCTGTGGACCCCATTAGGGATATTACAGATGGGGGGAAAAAACAAACTCTAGGCAATGGTATAATCTCTTCAACACACAGACCTTAATGCAATTAGCTGTTTTAATTTTAAGACATGCTGAGGTGCTTGAAATGTCATCGCTTTTACACAGATTTAAAGGGGTGCATTTGCACAGGTTGCCAGCACATGCTCAGTTTTATGGCACACCTCCATAAAAGCGATGGCATAAAAAAATCAGGTCTTTGGTGTAAGGATTTCAGATCCTATTCGGGTTTATATAACAGATGGCCAACACACCACACATCTCATTGATGTGAATGGAAACATTAGAGCTCTAGAGTTTCATCCATGTCTCCCTGGGAGATTTATTTAGCAACTGTTTTGTGAATAGCTTGTATCTCAGTGGAAACTGTGCTAAATCCATGAAAAAAGGCAGTAAAATAAATGTTATTGCAATTTTTCTCTCCCCATACTCACCTTTGTCCTAAATTAATCTCAAAACCACATTTCAGCTCAACAGCAGGAATCATTCTTGTGGACTATCAGAATCAGCAATTACAAAAGGAAACTTAAACAAGCATGCCTAAGGAAGTTTGATTATGCAATTCAGATTCCTGAATCTTAAAAACCAAACACTGCATTATATTTTCCAAACCTCTCAAAACCTTTATTAGCACATATGGAGCCTACAAGCTCTCCCAACAATAGATTCCTTTGTATTTTCACGGCACGAAGGAAGCATCTGGATGAAATGTGAGTAACAGAAATTCACACAGGTGTAAAGCTTTGTTTGGAACTCATGCAGAGTTATGCTCTTTTAGTAATGACATTAATGAAGATTAAAATTAGTAAAAAATGTCTACATTCAGGAATGAGGCCCAGGCTAAGGGAATTATTGATGTGTTTAAACAGCGCTTCCTAAGTTTTTCCCTATTCCCAAGAACTCTATAGAATTAAAAAAACCTGGGAAGAGAAAAAGCTATGTGTGTCAGTATGCTTAAGCTAAAAGTTCAAATCAGTAAGGATAAATAAAATCAAAGACAAAAAAACAAAAAGCAGCTGAGCAACCAAGCTCACCTCTTTTGGAACCCATCCTAGTGTTCAGTCAGGTTATCGATAGACTTTGCAAGGCAGCTGTCATGAATTCCTGACACAGGCAGCTCGTTAGCCTAAGATCATCATGGCTAACAGTAAAATAAAGACAGCAGTACAGAGCAGGTAGGACTTTAGACTACCCACATTCCTGTAATATGCAGCTGTGGTAAGCAAAAAGTAATACAACAAACCAGTACCTCCCCAGAATACAAAAGGTTAAACAGAGTTAAGTTGGTGTAGAAAAACATCCGGATATAAATTTTGAGAGACAAACTCAGTTTATTTACTGGTTGATTCAAGGAGAAGGAAAGGGTTACATTGAAATTCTAGCATCTCCCAACTCTACCCAGCAAAAAATGTTTCTGATTTTCCTTTGTTTAATTGCTTACATTTTTTGGCCAGCCAGTTGAGAGGGGGAAAAAAGTTTTCATGTAATCACTGCAGGGCTAGCAAAAAAATTCTTCATGGAGAAACATCAAATCCTCAATCTTCTTGCTGAAAGATGAGAAGCCAATGGAATTCCTTATGTAGTAAGAAAAATGACGAAACGGTTTTCTTTGCAAATTGAGATGCTGCACTAAACTGACACACAAGATCTGCATTAATCTGTGAACTGCTTTATCTGGAAAGGAACATTTAAAAAATATACACTAATTTGCTACTTATCCACAGTTCTATATCCGGCACTGTA